AATTTATGTTTTTAGAACATACATTATAGAGGAGATAATTTGTCAGATTGTTCTGTTAAAAAATTAGTCTTAAAATATATAATTTTTTTATTTACTGGATGTTCATTGATTTGTTATTCGAAACTGGCATACAAATTATTTCGCAGAAGTTTTACACATTAAATTCATTTTGCATTAAAACAGTTAAGCAGAATAAGTAACAGCATTATAAAATACTTACACTATTTACATGTTAATAGCACACTGTTTAGTCCAAAAAATGAATGAATTTTGGTCGTCAATAAACCTTAAAAGTTTCTATATTTTGATGTGCAGTTTTTCTCATAAAATACATAATAAGTAATCCTCATATAAGGTTAGATGCCCAGTCAAACTCAGTTGGTCTCTTTCAATAGGAATTCATCTTTTGTAGGCTTCTCTCCTGATATGTTTACTTACGTGAACAGTCTTTCAGCCATCCTTTCACCGCATGGTTTTTCTACATCCGGTCACTCTGGTCGATCAAGCTTTGAGAAGCTAATTTTCTGAACCAGATAGAGAACGTCATTGCTCATGTTGATGACAACATACCGACTATCGCTTCCCCTTTCGTTGTTTTGTTTTCTATATTGTCACTTCAGCTAATACTTCTCTGTTCTATCTCACCAGATCACTTACGTTAGTGGTGAATAAATCCATAGCCTGATTCAACAGTTTTCTCAAATGATCGATACAGTTTGTATTTGTTTTACTCACGTTCCTGGAGATGTAATGAAACACGGGAGATTTAATGGTATTTTTAGTTCCTGCTCAATCATCAAGGAATGTTATGTGTTGGCTGCTACTCCTTGGGTATCTATTGAAAAACTCCTCAGATAAAGCACCAAATTTTAATTCTTGTTCTATTGCATTTGATTAACAATCTGGTTCAATAACATGTATCTATAACTACTTATTGTGTTATCTGCAAAAGGAAGGAAAGGGTTGATGAGCATATTTGTATACCCAAGATTTCGCACATTTTTCAGCAAACGTAAAGTTACTTATGTATCGAACTGTGAGACGTCCTCACACGTAGGTTTGGTCAAACATTTTATTTTAACCAGTTAAAGATACGACGTTTTATACTATCATAATAAAATGTATTCCGTCTTTCAATAGCCCAGATATTCAGTAGCCACTTGGCTGGAAAAGTTACAAGGTGCATCTGGCTACGGAATGAGACCGTTAACTCGCCTTCTGCAACAAACTTCTTCCTATAATAACTAATTAAAGACTATAGCTGGGAATCACTTATTTGATTGCACCAACTTCAGTTACTGTTGTTATTCAAAGTCAGTTATATCCTCTGATGTGATCAAGATATTGCACAAAACTTCTCTAATCCTGGAACAGTCTCATTCAAATACTGCCTTACAGACTATTCGGGCTTCCGTGAAATTTATACAACAAGTTAGACGAGTAGAATTATTTTTGACATTCATTATAAAGATGTATAGTCTATGAATAATAGCAGGAGCCGAAGAGTTGAACAAATAAAATCAGCACTGGTGTTTTTGCTCAATTAGATTTTGAATAACGAGTGCACGAAAACAATCAGAAATTTCATTGAGACATTTTACAGAATCTTTTCCTTATTTTAGTAAAAAAAAAATCTCTAAACAAAAGGAATATGAAATTGATGCCTTAGGCTGTATGTTTGAAGTTAAGCACAAAGTTACACAAAGGGCTATCTTTCTAGCATTGTAAATCCCCAAACATACCGCTGTGCCACTGGGAGAGGGGGAAGATACATGTATCCAAACAAACTTGAAGTTATGATTGTGGTGTTAGATCCTGTCCTTAGTTGAAACTCCTCTTAGCATCGGCTCATATATTACTTGGCCATGTAGATGGTTTATCTTTAGACATTATCTTCACTCTCTCTTCCACGTTAGTTACAATCGTGGTAAGCATGAATTTTACAGCATCTGATAATAAATCACCTTGTCTTTAGCATTTATGACTTTTATGGTGTGACAATTTTTATTTGGAGGGGAAATCTTATTATATCTTGTTCAACCTATGTCATTTTTTGCTTTCTCTTAGCATCTTATTACTTTTATTTTCGGTTAAAGTTTATTGTTCATCTTCAATGTACTTCTAATTTTAGCAGGTATAACTGAAAACATGCAGTTAACACCGGTTTTTTTTGGCCTGTTGTTCTGAATACATTATATCGAAACCTACCATGCATAATCTCGTAAAAATATATGTAATTGATTTTATACTATAAAAAATCTTAATGACATAAAACAAATATTAGACTCAGGCAGTGACAAAATAATGACTTCTAATAAATACGCTTTTATTAGAAATCTTTAGAAGAATCTCCTCCCTGAAAAACTCCATTTGTCAGTACTTCAATATATTACTAAATGCTGTATAATATTTCAAGGCTTTATCACCCATAAACAAAACAATAGTCTTTCCGTAATTTCCGACTCCTTGGTCAAAAACATTATTGTTCACAGATAACCCACCCAGTACTTTTCCTTTAAAATTATCTCTACAACTTATTCATATTTCCACCAAAATTCTAATTGGCATTAGACTAATATTAATCAAATTAAAACCTTATTCTAGGAATTCCATCTTTAGCTGTCGTTTACAAAAGCGTGTAACGTTGATTTTTATGGAGTATTGTTTTTACCTTAGTACCGAGAAGGTTTAGCAAATAATCTATCTCTCAGTACCTTTTGAAAATATTCTAAAACTGATGATGACTGTTACGTTCTGTGAAGAAGACAAGATAGTTTACATTTCTCAAATGTTCTACAGTCGTCGCTTATAAAGTCGCCCCCCAGTGGCACAGCGGTATGTCTGTGGACTTACAACGCTAGAATCTGGGTTTCGATACCCGTGGTGGGCAGAGTACAAATAGCCCATTGTGTAGCTTTGTGCTTAATTACAAACAAACTTATAAAGTCTATAGGGATTTAGCGCCATCTATACATAAATATATAAATCAGAAAACGAATTCGAAAAACACTCAATTAAAAAAAAATATATATGTATTAAATTTGAGTGTTAAGCTTTTATAAATAGATATATTGAGTAGTATATGTGAGTGTTGTAATTTGGAGAGATTATATACAGACAAATGAATTTTAGTTGCTTTTTGGACGTGGACGTGTGGTAAAAACGTTTTTTTTATATATAAAGAAAATGTGAGTTGATATTATGTCAACAAACTTATGAATACTTTATAAATAAATCAAAATATCTGTTATGCAAATGGTCTAAACGTTTTTCGTCTTATGATGTTTTATGTTCTAAGCAAATTATATTTGTCTTCGGTTGTAATAATGAAAATGTCGACGTTTGAAATAAAAATAAGAACTTTTTTTTTTAGTTTGGCATTTCAATATTCGGTGTTTTTGCGAAAGTAATTTAAGTAATTCTAAATAAAAATACTACATTCAAACCTAAAGTCAAATTTTATTATTCTAAAATTAATGGCAAAAAACAAAAACAACTGTCGTTTATTTAAAGTTTAAACACATTTCACTAACCTTTATATTATATATATTGATCAACTTGCTATTGTAATTTTTCATGTTTAAGCTAATTCGTAATTTTTACTGTATTCTTAAATGTTTAATCTGATGAAGAATTGCTACCTACTGCAAAATCATAAAGTATGGATGTGTTCAGATTGTAATAAGATAATAAAACAACATTATTCTATAGTTTACTAGGCCTCTCTGTAGTTTTCTTGAAATTATATTTACTTTGGTGTATAATTTATATCAAAATAATTTCTTTGTAATTAGAACTTTTAAATACATTGTATAAACCTATATCAAAAGTAGTTTATTTTCAAACCTACAGATGGCAGTAAAGAACTAAAATACCCTTAAGACGATTTTCTCTCTTTCTTTGACTTGTGTTATGCTCACTGCGGGTATCGAAACTATATTTTTAGCATAGAGGCCCTTGGACTTACCACTGAGCCAAGGATCCTTTGCAAGTTATCGAATAATCTAAAATAAACCGCCCACTCTTAAAATGCCTTGATATTTATGTATCTGCAAGTTATATATTCCAACAGTAAATTATGTTTGCCTTTACATTAACTTAAATATTTAATGCTTTCAATCTTCGTTTTGCTAGTTTATTTCACGCTTCGAGAAATGGGAGTCTATTTTTTATATACGATCACCTAAGTTTGAGAAATTCATCATGTTTAACAATAACTATCAGCATTGTTAAGCATTAAGATTTATGCAGTTAAACTACCAGGATGTTTTAAGTTATATACCAGTAGTTTTTTTTTCTTCTTTTTTAGAGGGAGAAGACAACCAGAATCTGGATCTTAGGTCCGTGGTTTGTGCCTCTTTACCACAAAAAGGACGCGCTCCGCACTTTGAAGTTGTGGGTATGTTATAAATGTGACATTCAAATTCAACTATTCGATTTGCGTAGACCAAGAGTTGACATTGGGTGGTGTTGACTAGCTGCCTTCCCTCTTGTCTGTCTCTTCAAATTTAGGGACAGCTAGCGCAGATAGCCCTCGAGTAGCTTTGCGCGAAATTAAACAAATAAACTTTGAGTTGTAAAATAATGGTTTTCCATTTAGAAAGATAATGGAAACTATTTCCAATAATACCAAATTTTTGCTTGTTCCTACGGTTGATAAGCTCTCTATCACCCTTCGCCTCCTTTATCTAAGTGATGAATATTTGTACTTAAAATATCAAACTTTTCAAACTGCTTAGCATATCTTATCTTCAATTACATATCAGAAGTATTTTCGTCTTCGAAGTTTATTTCTATTTAGAAGCAATTGTTATATAACAATTCATTCTAAATAAACAAATATATATATACCTTTGTAAAGCGTCCTCTTTTATCACTGTCTTTCTGAACCACAAACTTTTCTCATTGGTCAAAATAAGCGTACGTAGTAAATAATATTTCCGGGTTTAAAATTTGTAGAAAGGAGAGAAATTATTGCTGGAACTTTACAGAAGTAGAATATTTATACAAGTTTTATATTTACCACAGAGTTATCAATGTTACTGGTTGCTTCCGCTTTTATTTTTCTTGCGTATGTATTATTTGATGTTAATTATTACATAAGAGGGATAGTTACACTATTTATTGCGCAAATTATGTGCACGAGGAGGAGGCATTCTTCAGAGGAAATTGTAACCTATGGTAAGTATTTCTGTTGGACATATTAAAAATAAAATTTTGCAGTCTCGACATTCCTGCAAAAAATTAATGCAAGTAGTACTTCATCAAAATATCGTACAAACACACTTTTTATTGATACAAAGATAATTGAAACATAGTAACATAAAATAAGCATGGGTATCTAAATGTGTAAAAAAAAACATAACATTAACAATTAAGAAAAGACAACAAATAAGACAAAATATAATAGTCATATCGAAATCTTTCTCAGTTTCTGCAAGAGTAAAGTTATTTAACTTCTGCCTCACCCTGTGTATATATTAATGTATCCCAAGTTTTAATTTAATTACCTTATTTT